GGTATAGCCCCTTACCTGTTATAGCGAAACAGTTGAGCTGGGTTGAGGATATGATGTCACTCGTCAAGCACCAACTACAGAAAGCGTAGGCCTAGTATATGATTATTTGCCATTTTTCCTGAATAAAGATGTCACTCGTCAAGCACCGAATACAGAAAGCGTAGGCCTAGTATATGATTATTTGCCATTTTTCCTGAATAAATTAAGGTATCTAAGCTTATTATAGATGGAACCTGCCTTTACAATTTGGCGATAAGCTCATCATGTCAATACTACTGAGGCCCCCGGGAACCCGTTGCAACTTAGTTCATCAGGTCCTCGGCGGCGTACCTTGGCTCCCTCTACGACGATATTGATCGATCTTATTTGTATATTCCCCTCATCAAGATCACCAAAATCACGGATGCTTGTTTATTAACTTAATCAATAATTATTAATTGTTCTGATTTAGAAATGTTTATAAAGAATTATATAATTTAAGAGAGACCCTTAAATAGCAGTTTACCTTCTAGAATAAGTTGGAAAGGTCACCCCTCTATTAGAAAAAAGCGTGACCTTTATTACAAAGAGGAAAATGACATAAACATGCGCCGGATCATCATCATCATGATATTTTTTTTTACAATGGTGCAAAATCTCTTGATCCAGGTAAATAATCCTCCATCAACACAGCACTCTCTTATACTATGTATATATCCGGACGGAAAACGTAAAAAATGACCTTCGCCGTCACGATACGTAATTCTTCTAGCTATGACGCTTAAGACACATCTATGTTATTTGATCGTATTTGCATATCGCGGATACGACGTGGGTGCGCGATCTCTGAAACCAGCAGCACTAACGGAAGTTATATAAAATTCAATCGAAACCACTTGCAGTAGGCCTATCATCGGTTGATAATCTTAAAAAACAGTTTGAAATTCTCACAGATATTTCCTGACACGCTACCGTAATTCAACCAACGAAAACCTTCAGAGTTCTATCAACAGCGGTCATAATCAATGTAAGTTTCATTATTAGAATAATATTTAAAATATTTTATTGAGTTAAAAGATCGAAATAATACTTTTCAATTATTTATTTTAAGTGTTAAGAAACCAAAAAAGTAATAACAGGACTTTCTTTAAACGTGTAAAAATATATAAGGAACTAAACTATAATATCGTTCTTCAACAAAACTCTTTTATACATACGAAGTTAGGCTAATCTTTTGGTATTTTATAAGCCATGAATATTGACTTATTAATAAGTTGGTTAGGACCTGAAGCTTCTTAGTGCGATAACAAGATGGGCATATCTTCGATCATGCGAGTGTAGGCACAGTATTACATCTGGAATAACAATAATTAAGAAAGTATATAATCCATATTTATAATAATAACATTTGCCCTGATGAGAAAACAATTGGGAAAGTTTGCGCACGTCGCTGTTTTATCAATCTAGTTCAGGTTGTCTGTGTAAGTATCAGCTGGTGGCCTACGTATGCAGACTGTTTCCTCTGTGCTGCACAACAGTGTTTCTCAACAATCTTTAATAGACCCTTACGGAATGTCAATCAAACTTACAACTAACCAATCAGAACAGGGTCATGAATACGCGCGCGTGTCTCACAAACACACGTGTTTCTCACAACCTATTATATGGGATAGATATTTTTTTTTTCTATAAATTTCTTTATGTTACATTTTCTGTGTAGGTCTGATAAATAAATAACAGAACTTCTATAATGTGAATCCATGATTAATAATGAGGCATCAAACAGATTCATTTACTTCAGAAAATTCTTTAGCCTGAACCTCACGAACCGCAATAATGAATGTGCACAGCTGAAATATATAAGTTGGGAAACTTTCGGAAAATAAAATATCTTGCTCGTATTTATTCGGGTTGAATTAATTCGCAAGAAACCAAGCAATATTCAAATAGCTTTTTAATCATTTTTCAAAATTCTTGAAATCTCGCGGTCTGAATGTTTGAAAAGTTTGGACGGCGGAATGAGAACCAGTTATTTAGACAGGTAAAATTCTTAAACGTCATCATCTTGACATCCTAGATATGAAGCTTAAATATT